ATAATGTTTTGAGCTTTGGGTTGAAGTCGAGAGTCGGAAGGGTGCTTGCTAATTTTAATTCATGATTTAATGTTATTTTAAGTCTTCTTATATCAAGTGGGGGTATGCCGGCTAAGTTATATATGCTGGGTATTGGACTTGAACGATAAGCGCCGATTGACATACGGAGACCTGCGTTGTGAATTGCATCAAGTTTTTTTTTTGTCGATTTATTTGCTGTGGTCCAAATAAAGGATCCGTAGTCAAGTTTGGAGAGTATAAGTGACTTATAGATTGTTAGCAAAATGTGTGTTTTGGAGCCCCATGATGTGTGGGATAACATTTTTATAATATTTAGGCGTGGAGAGATTGATGTTTTCAGTGAATTGATATGATGGATCCATGAGCATCTTTTGTCAAATGTTATGCCGAGTATTTTGATTGTATTATTATTTTTTAAGTAATGATCGCCCATTTTTATGTTAATTTGATTTTGAGTGCGCTTGCGTGTAAATACAATGCATTGTGATTTTTCAGGTGTAAAAGTGAAGCCGGATGTTTGAGTCCATTTTTGGAGGTTGTTGATGGCGAGTTGTAGGTGGGTTTGGACTGTTTCTAGGTTTTTGCTTCGGCAATAAATGTTAAAGTCATCCGCGTAAAGGGTAGATTGGACAGGTACGGATATGTTTTGAGTGATATTGTTGATGGCTATAAGGAAAAGAGTAACGGATATGGTTGATCCTTGAGGGACTCCGTTAATCTGTGAGAACACCTCCGATAGCGTTTGGTTAATTCTTACTTGGAATGTTCTTGTTTTTAGAAAATTTCTGACAAAATTGAATAATTGATTCTGGCTGAGTACTTTAGAGAGACTATTTAGTATATGTGGTTTCCATGTTGTGTCGTAGGCTTTCATCAAATCTAAACTAATCATACCTAAATATTGATTCTCTGAGTATGTGTTTTGTATTTCTGTATGTATTTTAGAAAGACAGTTGTATGTACCTTTATTTTTGCGGAATGCACATTGTTCAGGCGTGAAATAATTAGACTGTTCTAAGAACCATATTAAACGTTGATTTACAATTTTTTCTAAAAGTTTACATAGAGTATTTAAAAGGGAAATGGGACGGTATCCTTCCGGTGAGAATTTGTTTTTTCCTGGTTTAATGATAGGGATTACAATACTGTTTCTCCAGTTTTGTGGGTATATGTTGTGGTTCCAGATGGTGTTGTAAATTTGTAGGAGTATTTGGAGCGTATCATTGCTAAAGTTTTGTATAAAACTATAAGGAATATTGTCCGGTCCTGTACTTTTGCTTTTACATCTTTTAAGAGCTAACTGGATTTCATGTAATGTAATTGGACTATTTAAATTGGTCTGATGGATATTTTGCGGTGCTATTGGAGAGGGATGGAGTGGAGGTTTGTTTGCGTTCTCCTTTAAGAAATCGTGGCTGTACATTTCATTGCTAGAGTTTTTTTGGAAATATTGTCCTAGGTGATGAGCAATTGAAGATGGATTAGTGTTTAACGATGAGTTGGTGATAAGGTATATATTGTTATGTTTTTTTCGACCCTGTAATGAACGAATTTTGTTCCAAATTATGTGGGGATCGACTTGAGCTCCGATGTTGGATGTGAAGTTTCGCCATGTTTGAGTTTTATTGCTTTTAACTAAGAATCTTGTTTTAGCTCTGAGTTCTTTTAGTTTAATATGGTCCTCGAGTGATCTTGTTTTTATAAATGTTTTAAGTGCTTTATTTTTGAGAGAAATATATTTTTTTATTTCATTGTTCCACCATGGGACTTGTGGTTTTTTGTTGAAAGATTTTGAGTAGCCGATTGTTTGTTCTGCTGCCTCAATGATGTTCTCTGTAAATTTAGCGACTGTTTTATCGATGTTTACTTCATTGTTGGTGTAATCTGAATCATTGGTTTTAATTTGGAGAAGGTTAGCAAAAAGTATCCAGTCAGGATTTTTGAGGTTCCATTTTATTGTAGAGTGTCTCGATTGAGATGAGTTGGAGATGAATTGTATAGAGATTGGAAGGTGGTCACTATTATATATTTCGTTTAATACTTGCCAGTTAAGTCTATGTGCTATTGTGGGTGTAGAGAAAGATAGGTCGATAGCTGAAAGGTTTCTATTTGAAGGATTTATTCGGGTTTGCTCGTTGTTGTTTAGTATGACAATATCATCTTGTTCTAGTAATTTTTCTATAATTTTTCCTCTTGAATCAGTTTTATATGAGCCCCATGTAAGACTATGGCTGTTAAAGTCTCCTACTATGATAAAGGGTCTCGGTAATTGTTTGATAATGTTTTCTAAATCTGTGAGTGTGAAGCTGGATTGATTTGGAATGTATATATTACAGAGGGTAGTTTTTGTTTCTAGAGTGATTGTTATCGCGATTGCTTCTAGGTTTGTTTGAATAGGAATTTCTTCCCAAGGAAAGTAGTTATTAATGTAGGTGTACACGCCGCCACTGGCCCTCCGGCAGTCGCTGCGATTTTTTTTTGCGTATTGGTAGTTGTTTATATTAGGGGGAGATTCATCGTATTTGAGATTCGTCTCTTGGAGACATATTGCGATAGGTTGATGTAAATTAATTATAAGTTTGATTTCGTCGATATTTTTACAGAGTCCATTGAGGTTCCATTGAACTATATTTGTATATTGTGACTGCATTTTATATTGATTTTTGTTTATATATATTTATTGAGGGTTGTTTGGGTCAGTGGAGAGGGCTTTATCGAGGAGAGTATTGCATAGTCTCGTAAGTCTGTTTTTTATACTAAGGCTGTTCATTTTAGGTCGGACGGTATCGATGATTTCGATCATTTCTAGACATGTGATGTTGAATTGTTCTAGTACCGGGGCTGGGTTAGATATGCTAAGAGTGTTTTCGATTATGTACTTGAATTGTTCGTAATTTATTTTCTTGTTCGATATTACCTCAATACTGGTTTTTATGGGTTCAAATATTTCGTCTAGCTTTAATATTATTTGATCAATGGAATTGGAGCGTTTTACTTTTTTGGTTAATGGATGAATTATTTTATTTGGATTTGAAGTCGAATGGGTAGTACTATTTGAAGTCGTGTTTTGGGAATATGATTTAGGGGGTGGAGAGTTGGTATCGAGACTTGATGATGTTGAGGATAGTGCTGGTCTTTTATTTGTGTCAGTTGAGGGAATGAGCGTTTTATCTTCTTGTGTTGGTGTTGACGTTATTGGAACGTCAGCGATAGGTGATGTAAAAGGGGTTAGCGCGTTGCTTATATCAGTGTTGTTTTCTGTTGGAATATTTATTGGTGGTTCATTGTAGACTGGATTTTCATCGGAAATGTTAGTGTTGTTTATAGAGTTGTTGGAATCTGAAGATTGGTATGACTTTGTATTGGAAGTATCTGGTGTAGGATTTTTGCACTGTTTTGAGGTGTGTCCTGTGAGGTTGCATTTATAGCATGTGAGGGTGTCGTCGGATAAAAAAATTCTGTGAGGTGTGTTTTCAACAGTAATCATAAGGGAGTTTGGTAATTTTTGGAAATCGTCGGGATTTATATAAACTTGGCATCTAAAGCTTAAAATATGTGCTAATTCTTTTATGTTGAATCCGGCGTTGATGTGTGTTATTGGAGATAGAGGTTGAATTTTGTGGTTTTGTAATTGTACTGTGATGCTATCATTGGAAATGACGGGTGAAACATTAGATATTATTATTCTTTTCGCCGGGTTTACTAATCGTCTGATTCTTATTTGTGTTTGGTCGTTTAGTATTATGTTAGGATGATTATTGATTAGGTAATCAACAGTGTTTTTGTCGTTAAAAAAAATACAAAATCGGTTGTTGGAGATTCTAGAGACGTATTTTATATTTTTCGGTGGTATTAATTTGCTGATTGCTATGATATATTCGATTTGCGGTACATTATCGATTGATTCGAAGACAATTGCTTGATCTTTTTTTGGTAAGTTTACATTAAGTGTGGTCTCGGCGAACGTTTTTTTTCCAAAGGTGTTTTTATCGGTTTCTGTGGTGATATTTTGTTTCGAAGATGTGTTTGTATTTTGCACGCTCTGTTTATGATTAATTATGTCTAATGAATCGTAATTAGAGTTATTTGAGTTGGTGGGTATGAATGTATTGTTAGAAGCGGTGTTATCTGTATTTTGTGCGGTGGATGGCATCTCATTAGTCTCGTTATCTACTGTGGTGACGGTAAAATCGGAATTGTGTGTTGGAGCGGTGGGATTGTTTTTAATTGTATTTTTGGATGCATTAATAAGTTTTTCTCTAAGATTTTTAGTTTTTTTGGGTGTGTCACCCATTTTGGGGTGTGAGTATTAATATGAGGGTATATGTAAATAATAATCTGCTTTACGATAGATATTCATATTACCTTGTAATTACACGTAGGTAGACTGAGTGCATACGAGAGTTAAAAATACGTGAGCGCGGTACGATAAACGTGTTGCTCGGTCGATAGTGCACACGTAACTGCTATTATTATTTATTAAACATACTAATTTAATATCAAATTATATACTTTTATAGATCAACATGACTATAAAAATGAAACGTTCTAAGTTAAGTGGAGACAAATATAGGAAATTGGCCAAGGAAAAATTGGAAAAACAAAGATTGGCTTTAGAAAATGTCCCGAAAATTAATACATTATTTAGTAAGGAAGTAATTACGTCAGTAAGTGTAAGTCCAAAAATATCTTCTAGTGTCATAGATTCCGGCGATATTAAAACAGTACAGAATGTAAATGAAAAAAATAATACTTATTTTAATGACAGTACAGAGATAGAGTTACAAAATAAAACTAAAACAAGTATTTTTAGTAAAGATTCTTCTCAATGGATACGAACAGCCGACTTTATTCACTTTGTGGCATCACACGGTGTTGATCAAAATATGAACTCAGACTTTTCAAACTCCAAACGGATATACTCAGACCAAAGTAGATATTTAACTAAATCTATGTTCTATAGGATATTATCAAACAATGAAAAAATTCTTAGAACGTGGTTAGTTTACTCAGAAATTAAAGGGACTGTATTTTGCGCACTGTGTTGGTTATTTCGTGACGACTCTGATTTGGCTACTACAGATTTTAATGACTGGAAAAACGCTTGTTCGAGGTTAAAACAACATGAAAATTCTATAAATCATAAAAACTGTTTAATTCAAATACAAGACATCAATCAAACTAAGGAAAGAGTAGATTCAAGATTAATGAATCAAATTGATGGGGAAAAAAACTATTGGAAAAATATTTTATTGCGAATTGTTGCCGTAGTTAAATCACTTGCCTTACGGGGACTCCCTTTTCGGGGTGACAACGAGTTAATTGGTTTTTCGAAAAATGGAAATTTTCTTATGTCAATAGAATTAATATCTGAATTCGATCCATTTTTGGCCCAACATATTAATAAATACGGTAATGCCGGTCGAGGATCAACATCATATTTATCATCAACTGTTTTTGAAGAAGTAATTTCTATAATAGCGGAAAAAGTAAATAAATATTCTGTTGATGAAATTAAACGTAGAAAATACTTTTCCATTATAGTTGATTCAACTCCTGACATTACGCACATTGATCAGCTTTCCTTTATTGTGAGATATGTAAATGACCAAGGTCTACCAGTTGAACGATTTCTTGAATTTATACCAAAAGCGGGTCATAAGTCTGCAGAGTTATTTGATGTAGTCAATGATCTCATAAAACGTTACGGTTTGGATTGGTCCAACTGTAGGGGACAATCATATGACAACGCTAATAATATGTCCGGCAGTTATTCAGGTCTCCAAGCACGAGTTAAAAAAATAAATAATTTAATATATTTTGTTCCATGTGCGGCACATTCGCTAAATTTAGTTGGAACGCACGCTGTAGATGGTTCAAAAAAAGCAGTTAAATATTTTGGATTAATGCAACATTTGTTTACGTTCTTTACTATTTCAACTCATCGTTGGGAAATACTCAGTAATAATTTGAAACCGGGAACTCATACGTTGAAACATCCATCATTTACAAGATGGTCATCAAGAGATGCAGCTTGTTTGAGTATAAATGAAAATTGGTCTGAAATGATCAATGCCTTAACATATATAATGAATGCTACTACAGAAATATTATGACTCGAAACGAATCACAAGGACTATTAAATAAACTCCAATCATTAGTGACTTGCTTTATGTCTATATTATGGGGTTTTCTATTGAACAGATTAAATATAGTTAATGAGAAGTTACAAAAAGTTGAAATAGATTGTGGTCTCGTGGTTGAGCTTTACGATTCTTTAATTCAACTTATTACAAATACTCGTGAAAATTTTGATGAATTTGAAAAAAAAGCAATTGAAAAATCTGTTACAAAAGAATATAAAGATTTAAAAACTCGTAAAAAAATTAAATCAATTTTTTATGATGAAACTCGACATAATGATTTAATTACTTCTGGAAGAGAAAAATTTAAAATTGATACCTTTTTAGTAATTTTAGATCATTTATTGAATGAACTTAACAAGAGAAGAGCTGCGTATCAAAATTTTTTTTTCCATTTGCTTTTATTGTCATACTCGAACGTCTATCACATGATGATATTGTTAAAGGAGCTACACAACTTAATGAAATATATTATGATGATATGGATTTAAATTAATTAATCAATGAATGTTTACATTTAAAAGCACACATAATACAACTGGCTGACGATAAGCAAAACAATGTTCCCAAACTTCTTCAAATTTTACATGAAAAAAACTTAATTTCAATATATCCCAACATCGAAATAGCACTCAGAATATATACATCTACTGCGGTGACTAACTCTTCAGCTGAACGTTCTTTTTCTTGCTTGAAAAGAATAAAAAATTATCTCCGATCAACGATGTCACAGGATCGATTAAATGCACTTGCTATACTAAGTATTGAACATGAATTAACTAATCAGTTATCATATGACGACATCATAGAAGACTTTGCGAAAAAAAAATCAAGACGTAAGACTATAATCTGAAGAATATGAAAAATAATTATTTGTTCGTATTTTTTTTTTTTTTTTGTAATATGCTTAAAGAGTTTTCATTCATTAATAAATAATAATAGTATTGATTTTATGTTTTTATTTTATTAATGATCATTCTTTATATGGGGTGTGGAGAGTTTTTACGTACCACTTACAGAAGTAAAATATCAATACCTATGAAAATTAGGCGGTAAATTTATTTCAGCCTATGGGCGGCAAAAACCTTAATCCGGCCCTGATAGTAAGCCATCGTGCCATATTTTATCGAATGCTTGAGCAATATCTAAAAAAAGTCCGGAATAGTATTCTTTATTTTCGAGAGCAGTTGAGATTTTATCAGTAAGACGATGAACTTGATGGATTGCTGAGTGCCTGTTTCGAAAACCTAACTGATTATTCGGTATGATATGGTTGTTTTGAAGGATGGGACGTAATATTTTCAGGAGGGCCTTTTCGAAAAGTTTACCATTGATAAAAGTTATACAATATCCCTCGAATTTCAAAGCGGGAAAAATACTAATTGGTTATACTGTTTTCAACTAAAATTTTAATTCTTTTCATTTTTTTTTTTGAATATTTTCAACAAAACTTATTAAAACTTATTTATTCTTTTTTACTTTTTTGTTTGCAGATTTTCAATAAAAATGGTCCAAATTTTAAACAACTAAAGTAACATATAATTATGCAGATACAACATTAAATCATGGATATGTTTTCAAGTTAAAACTTTGACTTGTATTATTTTAGTAACCAATGTAATTAAAGAAGGGTAATGCTTTTCTGTTCATGCAATTCATCTTAATATTCATCTAAAAATATATCCATGTTATAAATCCTTGTAATATATCATACTTATAAATATCTAGCTTAATATTTAATTGTATGTGAACCTTTCGAAAAATATATATGTTTTTCATTATTTTTTTTTTTAATTTTCTATGTACTAGTATGTAAATAGTATAAAATATTACATGTTTTAGTTTTAAGTATGTAGTATAAAATAAGTATTCAAAAATGTATAATTATTTCATATAATTGATACCTATGTTTATTTTATATGTACCCAAGCATATATTATTATTATATTATTATTATTATTTTATAATTAACCCAAGCCCGTAACTAATTATGTTATTATTATCAAAAAATATAATTATCATTTAAAAAAAAAGTATAACTTCTTAAACAAAAAAATAATTTTATAATATAATTTTTAGAAATTTTATGTTGGCAACACATTTTATGCCCCCGTCTTTCGATTCTGATCCTTAACATTTTTCGGACAACTGCCTCCAACTCCATAGGTAATTCATTTATTATCTATGGTAGTATCATTAATTATTTATCATCATTTTATCATATCAAATTATATACTTCACATCGTGGTTTGAACTTTTGTATCGTAGAAGAAAGATTAAATGTTTTATATGTTATGTTCGAATGAATAACCAAATAGTCACATAATGGTACGACATAATAATCAATTGCCTAATAATTTACCACAACTTCAAAATCTTATAAAAAGAGATCCTGTATCATACAAAGATGAAGTAAGTTTTCATTTTAATGTAGAATATTGTATTATTTAGAATAGCGGTTCTTAACCTTTTGTAGATCACGGACTCCTGATAAAATATTTTTAGAAATTGGGGACCTTACGAATTATTTTTTCGAGTACTCACATTTTTTTTTTACAAAACATCTTTTGTTACTAAAACCAAAATTATAAAATTGATTTTATTTAATAAATTATATTAAGACATACATATTTATAATTACTTTTATTACACTTCATTTTTCAGTTAATTTAATATTCTTAAAATTTAATTTTTATAAATGTGATGATTGATGTTATACTAGATACAAGTTTTTGAACATCATATAAAGATAAGATCTATCTATTGTATAATAAAAAATAAACGGAAAAGAAATTAATAATAATAATAATCCAACAATATTATAATAATGCACTCATGTTAGGTTTTGACATAATTTATGTGTTAGGGCTGTCGCTGACCCCTAGAGGGTCGCGTAATACAAGTTAAGCACCGCTGATTTAGAATATTTGTGTAAAATATAATATTAAATATGTCCGTGTTTAGTTTCTACAACAGCAACGCCATTATAAATCATTGTTGGCCGTTTTCACATTACGTCCGACAGATTTTAATAAAAGTCTTGATGAATTGATAATGTTTATGGCACAGATAGCACATTGTTATCCTAGTGAACTGTCAACCTTTGCTCAAGAGCTTATAGATATGTTACAGACACACGGACCGGTTCTAGATAAAGATATGCGAATGGTAACTTTAAAGTTGTACATTCTAGAATTAAAATGTTAATAAATATTTTATGTTAATTTTTAGACATTTTGTCGTGCTTTGATACTTTTACGAAACAAACGTTTATTGACTCCAACAGATTTGCTTTCTCTCTTCTTTGGTTTACTCAGGTCACAGGATAAGGAACTGAGAAAATTTTTAGAATCCCATATTGTATCTGATATTAAAAATTTAAATTCTAAACATAAAGATGCTAAGTTAAATAGAGTATGTGAAATATATGGACAATAATATCATCAAATGTATTCTAAGTAATTTTTTTTTTGTTTTTAGAATCTTCAAAATTTCATGTATACCATGCTAAAGGATAATAATGCTAAGGCAGCCAAAATGTCATTAGTAAATATGGTTTATACATTTAATATTATTCATATGTGCAAAATTTAGTAAAAGTTATTTATTTAAGGGTATAATGGTTGATTTATATAAGAAAAATATTTGGAGAGATACTAAAACTGTCAATGTCATATCAACTGGTTGTTTTTCTAAAATAACAAAAGTTATGGTTGCTGCTTTAAAATTTTTTGTAACAGTGGATGCAAATGATTCTTCTGATGAAAGTGATTCATCGAGCTCAGATGATGTATATTTTATAATTATATATATTATTGACAAGGGCGCCCATAGGAAAATTCTCAAGGGGGGACAACATTTTAATTCATCAATCTATTCATAAATAGAAAAGACCCACGATATAGAAAAGGATTTACAATTTTACATCAATCTATTACATATATATATATATATAATTGGAAGACTATAAAATAATAATTATTTAACCAATTTACCATAAAAGTGATTTATTTCAATTTTTATTTAATTAATAATATAAATTGGACACTTTAAACATTAGTTATATTTATTAAAATATTAATTTACATATATTATATAAATATTATGGTTGTGTACACACACACACACACTTATATATATATATATATATATACCGTATTTCTGGAAATGCACAATATTTTAAGAATTGATAATTATCCATAGAATAGAAACGAAAAAACGAATTGTTATTTATAGCTGATAACCTGATTTTCCAAACCAAATAAATAGATTTTTCATAAACAAATTATAGATTTTCATATATTAAATTTAATTTTTAAATTCTGTTTAAAAAATCTTTTCTGATCATAGTAAACAATTTTCCAAAATTTTTAACATTTTCCAGAGGGAGACATGTCCCTTGCCCCTCCATATGGGTGCTCTTGATTTTTGATTATATTATTGTTATCTTTTTTATTATTATTTATAGGATACACCAAATACTAGAGAAGTAATAATGGCTAATAAAGTGAGCAAAACTACAAGAAAAAGAACAAAAAATTTGAAAAAAGTTAAAAGATTAGTAGAGGTATTTATTTATAGTTTTTTTTCTTCTAAAGAATAAATTATTTAAAATTAATTTTAATATAATTTTAATGTTAGAAAAACAAAAAAAAAAAGAAGCAATCACAATCCTCAAACTTTGCTGCTTTAACTTTAATACATGATCCTCAAGGATTTGCTGAAAAATTATTTCATCAGTTAGAAAAAAGACATGAACGGTTTGAAGTGAAAATGTTGACTTTAGATGTAGTGTCACGTTTAATTGGTTTACACCAATTAATAATTTTCAATTTTTACCCTTATATTCAAAGATTTTTGCAGCCCCATCAAAAAGGTTGAAGTATAATTTTTATTATTGTATTGCATGAATTTTAAACTTTTTCATTTGAAATATTTAACATGACATAACAAGCTACTTATTAAGATGGATTGATTATAAGTTTATTACCAATAATTTTATTTGTACCTTTTTTAGAGGTCGTTAGAATGATGCAATTTGTAGCTCAAGCATCACACGAAGTTGTTCCCCCAGATGTATTGGAGCCCGTATTACGTACATTAGTAAATAATTTTGTCTCCGAAAGAAATTCATCTGATGTTATGGCAATTGGGTTAATAATTGTATTATTATTATTTTTTTTTTTTAATTGTCATTATGTGAATTTTATACATTATTAGATTAAATGCAATCCGTGAAATGTGTTCAAGAGCACCATTAGTTATGACAGAAGATTTACTAAGAGATCTAGCTCAATACAAGAACTACCGTGAACGAAGTGTCATGATGGCTGCCAAGTCATTAATACATGTTTATAGATCTACTATGCCTCATTTATTACACAAAAAAGATCGAGTAATTTTTAAATTTTTTATGATTTTATAATATTTCTTCTACTTTGATGAAGCTACTTTTATAACGCTTTACCTTTCTAAAGATGTTTACTGATTTTACTTCTATAAAAATTTTTTTTCTATATTCAGTGCTCTATATTTAATATAATTGATTCTAATGTGGTTTTATATTGTTTATTAATTGTTTTTATTAGGGACGACCTACTGAAGCCACCTTAGAAATAGTTGCAAGAAAATATGGTGAGGTGGATGCTAAAGAATTTGTTTCTGGTGCTGAAATACTTCTAGAAACTGAAAATACTGAGTCTTGTAATAATTCTGATGAAAACTCAGATGAAGAATGGGTGAATGTTAGTCATTCTGAAGACGAAAATGATAGTAATGATGTTGACAATGAAGATGTAGTTGGAGAGAATGATGAGGATGATGAAGAAAGTGATAGTGATGATAGTGCTTCTGACTATAAATATATAAATCAAGGTCAAAGCATTTGTATACAGGAATCATCAACAAATCCTAAAATAAAACCAAAAATTGTAACTAAAAAAGAACAATTAGCTGAAAAGAGAGAAAAAGCAACCCATGTCAGTTCAATGAGAATTTTAACTGATGAAGATTTTAAACGAATAGAAATTGCACAATTAAGCAAACAGATGACAACTGCCAAAAATCGAAAGAGACCAGCTGAACGTGATGAAAGTTCACGGTAAAAAGACGATTTATTTTATTTAAAGTTTTTTAATAATACTATTTTTTAATGTTTTAGAGGAGAATTAGTTCGGCTTAAAGATATTGAAAATATATACAAAAAAAGAAAACATGATAAACAAACTAGAATTGACTCTATTAAGGTAAAAATAACATAATAGTGAATATTCTATACTGTAATTATTAATAACTAATAAACAATAAATAATAATTAACATTAGAAAGGACAAGAGGGTAGAGAAAAATTTGGATACAAAGATGGGCGTTTAAATCCCTTTTCTAGTAAGACCAATAGAGAAAAAAAGAAGACCAAAAATTTCATGATGATTAAACATAAGGCAAAAGGAAAAGCGAAGAAGTCTTTTAAAGATAAACAAGTAATTAATTAATTTTTATAATTCATTACTATTTATTTACCAGTCATAATTATTATAAATTATATAAAATTTATTATTTTATCATTTCAATAATTATATTAATAATAGTCAGTAGCGGATCTAGGATTTTCTTTTGGGGGGTTTTGAAAAAATTTTTCCCTTGGTATATTTTTTATAATACTGCAGTCAGTGATTGGATTGATTTGATTAAGATAATAGTAAGTAATATAATACATTAATTTAAATCTAAGACTACTTATTTCTTGTATGAATGAAAATACAAATTATATACTTTCCCTCATACTTTTTTAAAAAAAAAAAAATCTTTCTTAATTTATAAAATTATTGATTTTTAATATACATTTTTCCTGATTTGAGAGGGATTAACACCTCCATCCCATCGATAGATCCGCCACTGATAATAGCAGTGGCGGTGCGTCAGGGGAAACTTTAAGACAGCGTCTCCCCAATAATTATCGCAATGCAAAACAAAATTTTTCAAATATTTTCATATTTTTGTGTGATTTATGTAATACTTCTTTTGTGGACAATTTTTACTATACATATATATGTGTGAATAAATATTCTAGTTCTTAAGTATATGTATACGCTCTGGAAAAACAGCAATACACTATTTTTAAAATCATCGATAACGATTAACGACGGACGACGCGGTCGTAAAAGAATAGGGTTCCCTATTATGATACGCGTCCACTTATCGGCAATCCGTATGACGTCATCCGCACCAGTCGGAAAAGTTGCCCCTTCGATCAATTTCGTCAGCATTACCGACGGACCGATACGTGCGATCCGTCCGCTGCCGGCCAGTGGACGCATATGTATAACTTACTATACTAATAATTCTAAAATCCGTTTCATACGATCCGTACCTATGGACGCGTACCTTTAACTGAAATAATTATTCCCTGGAATAACCTTTCCATACACGGAAGGTTTTCCCATCAGTTTTGAAATGGCGTTTTAAAGCTGTCCATCAGATAGTCCGTCGCGGTACAGAACTTTTGATACCCATTTTCCTGTGGTTATGATGTGTTACTAGATCTTTTGTCATGTTAGAAATATTTTTTGCCATTCCTGCGGGATAGTACCTAGTGCATAGTTTGCTTAGTAGTGTGTTCCCAATATATTACATATATATAATATAATATAATTAGACGCTATACCTGACTTATCCACATAATATGTATAAAAACAAAAAAAAAGAAGATTATAATTATATGTACTATGGGAATCGTCTAATTTTTCAGTTGCTATAAACAATTATATTGTTTATAGCAACTAATAAAATTTATGAGCAACTCCTTACTCCACTTAGAAGAAGACATGGCTAAAAGTATAGAAGAAAAATAAAGCAAATACAAATTTTAAAAAAAAAATCAAGACACCACTAAGAGCGTGTTGTTTAGTGTTTATAACTAAAACTATGGACTGTAGACTGTGATCGTCCATACACGTACTAGTAAAATAATAATATTTATCTTCCAAAAATATCTATGACGATAACATTCTATTCCCTGTCTGTGATATTTTTATTCCATACATGTACATACTAGAGATGGGCAAAATACATCGATTTTTTAAAAACATTGATGTTTTTGTTCTATATATCGAAACCCTACATCGATGTTTTTATTGTGATGTATTGAAATAAATCGATTTTTTCTAATTCGAAGTCCCATGTTTAAATAACGTATTTATTTAAACATTTTAAATTTTAGATTTGAAAACTTCTTCGGTATTATTAAACTAGTCATAATATTACGGCTGTTTAAAATCCATGACTATAGATTATCAGAATGATGATGAATTGTACCGTGTCCAAAGTCCATGTGTATTAACATGGAAATTATCTGGGTTTGTTAGTTCTTTTATTGACTCTATTGTCTATAGTCTATACTGCATTGTCGGCATTAAATTATTAAGAATAAGAATATAGATTACTGATGAAAGATCATGCAGTTATTTTATTTACACCTATTATTACAGTTTATAATTTTAAATATATATATAAAACTTATTAAGAAAAAAATCTATGTTTTAGTCGAAAATATTGTTCACCAACATCGATGTTTCAAATGTAGATACATCGGAACATCGATGTTTCAAACTTTTTGCCCAACTCTAGTACATACCAAATATTAGCAATTTGGTCGGTCAAGGGACAAATCTGACTGTTAAACCTCCTGTGTATGGCCTGCTAATGAAACGGTCGATCAATAGTCTCAATTCTATTATTATATGGCATATAAAAGTTCGGAGGGAGAAATCACTGCGATTAGCATTAGTCTCAGTAGTTTCTGCCACTGGGTGGTGCGTTATTCAGCTCGTGAACTTGCCGTGTTCTCATTAAAAATTAAAAAAATATGGAATCATAACATTATACAATAGATGAGTTATTGGACGGAAAATATACCCGTAAATTTAAGTTTGTTATATTATAAGTTTTAATTGTATCTATAAAATTAATTTTAATTAATCGAAGTTCGAATTTAATTTATAATATAATATATGTATATAAGTTGTATAAGAATATAAAAAACTATGCAATATTATCAATATTTTTTCAGTAGCTTAATCTATTTACTTACAATAATATTGAATAATTATCTAACAAAAGTATAATAAACAATAATCGGAATTATTTAGCCAAGTTAATCAGTTATTACGGCATATATATATATATAATAAAATACTAATATTTCAAGTAAAAATGTATATAAATAGCCAATAATTGAACAAAATTTAAAAATCTGTACATTTTATTCACGCACCGCTTCTGGATAATAGTAATTATTCTGGTGGGCATCATATATAAAAATTATAACAACTATTTGAAGTTTGATTCTAAGAAAATTATTTAAAATGTTAGTTACTCAATTATTTTAATCTTTCACAATAATTGTGAAAAATAATTGTTACTTGCAATTATTGCAAGTAACTATAAGTAAAAAGTCCTATTTTATTTTTACATTTATTATTTATTTGATTTTTTTATACTTATAATTTTAAATAAATACATTACAAATTTGTCTAAATTGTTAATCAATTTATCATTAAGATTGATTGTTAATTATATTACCATATATTGATATTGACATTGATTATAAATACTAGTAGTATTTAATTATTTATTTATTTATTTAGAACTATAATATTTTTAATCAATTAGAATCAAATAGTATTGATTAACTGATTTATTAAGTTAAATTAATATTTATTAATTTATTATGTTTGTATGAAAGTACTTTGTATAAAAGCCGACTGGCGTTAATCATTATAAATAAAAAATAATAATAATTAAGTTATATTTTATGTTTTTAACTTTCAGATTGCATTACGAAACCATTTGACTAAATTGAAGAAGATGAAATAACATCAAATATTTTTTGTATATTTTTATATTTTATGAATAATAAATAAAAAATATATTAAACGTATAATATACATTTTATACAATATTTATATTTTAATATTTCTTTACTTGAAATATAATTTTTTAGTAAATTTTATTAGTACTCTAATATTACTTATTCCAATTGTTGGCATTAAAAATCCTGTCTTATACTTCTGTATCATGAAAATTATGTCATTACACTCCAAAAGTAAATAACAATAATAGCACGTAGAAAATAGTTTGGATTTAATGTAATTTTGATTTTATAAAATGATAATTAGAATAATGATAAAATTGAATCCTAAAATACCTACATTTTTATTTAATTGATTTATCTTAAACGGTTGTAATTTAAAACAATCCATTACCACGGTTACATGCACAGTTTAAACTGATTTAACTTAATTCGAATTAGCTTACTTCCTTAGTTAATTGCATGTAAACGGCTGTCAATTCGGTTTACTTATAACGATTTAGTTAATTCACATTTGAAATGTGCATTAGAAATAACTACGAGAGTACAAAATGCATGTAAACGGATCGATGCAAAATCACAACTACAACCGAATCAGTTATCAGTTGTAAATATCCATTATTTTATTAGGTGATAAAAAAAATAATTAGTTAATAGACAATAATACCGTATTTCAGTAGTAACTAGTAGGTTGATTAAAAATTGAAGTTATTCTCTGCGATTTTACTTTTATTATAAAATTACTATACAATATACGTCATGAGTGAAGTAACTAAAAAAGACTCGTACTAACTGGCCCGAATCAACCGTCTTATGTATGCTAGATATATTTAAATAAAAACATTTGGATAGTCATTTGGATCATACGAAATACAGAAATTCTGATATATTTAAAACCGTTGAAAAGTCTATTAACGACTATAAATTAATAATTATAATTATCAATGGTGAATTGGAGGGTATACGACGTATACCCAATACGCTATTCTTATCCATAGCGTATAGCTTATGAGAAATTGATGATACGCGGGTGTACGGCCGTATGTAGCGTATAGCTTGTAATTTGACAAATAACTACATAATACCTTGACTAACTTAATTTGTGATTATAATTATGACGTGATTCGGTAACGGATATATTATTATTATTATTTTTATTTTTATTTTTTAATGAAAAATTCAAATTTGTTATTATTTTACAACAAATAGGGTTTAGGGTTCAAAGAAAATTCCTCCGTCAAGCTGCTTACAAACTAAAGATAGTCTATCCACCTCACGATTACACGCCAATCCAACGCCTCTTTTCCTTAGAAAGCCTCGCCGATCGTCGTCATTCAGCTAACTTGACATTTCTATTCAATCTTCTTTCATCTAAAATTGACTGTCCTGAATCACTATCCCGTGTCTCTTTTAATATCCCCTCCCGCCGTACACGATCATCTGTTCCATTTCATATACCTTTCTCTTCCTCAAACTACTATCTTAACTCACCGATCATCCGTCTTATGCGCATTGCCAACTCTGACCCTTCATTCTCTCTCCAAAATTGAGCCTCGTTTCCATAAACAAAACTATTTTTATTATAATATTATATTCATGTATTAAAGGGTTCGTCCCGTATTGTAATATTAAATTAAATTAATTAATTAACAAGTTTCTATTATCAAATAGTCATAATTAAGGATGTGTAGCTCATGAAAGTTTTTTTGATTCCTACCATATGATAGTTATTACATGAACTAAGGAGTATACCCATGATTTATTTTAGCAATACATTACTGATAATAATGTTATCGCATAACCACAATCATGCCATCAATGGAATAATTAATGGGGAAAAATTTAGATTAATTCGAATTAAGTTAAATCGGTTTAAATTGTGCATATAAACGTTGCAACGTAAACTGGTTTGGAAGAAGTATATTATACTAATACGATTTTAGACGCGCATGTATACAGGTACTCTAATTCGAATTGATTCGATACGAATCGAGTTAATTCGAATTAATGGATGCATGAAAACAAGGTAAATGAAAATTAAGACATATAATTCGTTTTATAAGTTTCAACACTTAAAACCACAGAGCTAAGGTTTTTTTAGAAATCAACATAAGTTACATTAGTTAACATAACAGATCATATAACTCCAAGGTTATGAATATAGTTAGAGTACCTATCTACAATGTCTCAGAGTATCTTTAAAAAATTATTTATTTTAGGAAATTTTGACCATGAAGTATAACAAAAATGTTTTGAAGATATTGTTTACAGTATTAATATTTCCTAAATTATAAATCTACAATATTAAGTTAAGTTAGAAAGTACAATCTAAGGTAAGTAGTGGAAACAGCTTCAGGTAAGTAGCGTAAGTACACTTTAATTTAATTATGATTAATATTAAAAACACTGTTTTTATTTTAATAAATATTATCTATATATCTATACTATATATAAAATTGTAAGGGTTTTTCTTAGACCGCGCTAACCGAGAAAACTACTGAACCGATTTGGCTGAAACCCGACACTCTGCTGAAGGTTTTATTACCACTTTTGTCAGTAAAATAGTTCATAAAAAATTAAAAACCTATATTGTACCTATATTGTGCGTGTACCTATATTATCAATTCGAGATTGATTATTTAAATATTAAAGTGCTTCAAATTGGACGAATGACTATATTATGTCCTAAGTGCTATGCAAAAAAATGGAAAGATGAAACCCATGGACTTTGCTGCGCAGACGGTAAAGTTGTTTTACACCAATTTGAGGATCTTCCAGACCTAATTAAAAGTTTAATTGATAATTCTCACCCTATATCAAAACATTTCTTTGATAATTCTAGACGGTATAATACTCTGTTTCAAATGACATCGTTTGGAGAAAACGAAATAGCTGAAGGGAACATCATGCCCTCTTTTAAAATTCAGGGTCAAGTGCATCATTTAATAGGTAGTTTATTACCCGAAATTGGAAATAATGCTAGATTTTTACAAATATATTTTATGTCAGAGTCGGATCAAATATCTATTCGAATAAATATGATTCCAAATTTAAAAAGAGGTCTCATTGAATCATCGCAAACAGTTTTGCGTGAATATAATCACCTCATACAGAGTTTCAGATCTAATCTGGAGTCGAGGTTTTTTGATGAGTTGCAAAACTTTAAGTTAATTATTCATGCTGACAGAGTTCCTCAAGATGAACACAGAGGTTAATATAATGCACCTACCATCGATGAAGTAGCTGTATAATTAGTTAATGAAGATAAAGGTCCCAGAGATATAGTTCTGCACGGTCGGAGTGGACACTTGAGTCGAGTTTCCGAATTGAATAGATCTTATGATGCACTGAAATATCCATTGATGTATACTAGAAGCGAAAACAGTTATCACATTAATATTTTACAGAAAAATAACCAAAATCGAACAAAAACTGTTTCCTGCATGCAATTTTATTCTTATAGGTTTATGGTTTGAGAAACAAGTCTAAATCATATATATTATTACAAATCATTATTCAGTCAATTCGCCGTAGATATGATGGCAAAAATGATTTCTGAAAGACTACACTTTATTCGTAACCATCAAAAACAACTATGTGCGGATGATTATGTTCACCTCCGAAATGCTGTTAACAATGATGCAAATATTAATGCTAATAACGTGGGGCAACAAGTAATTCTTCCCTCCTCATTTACTGGCTCCCCACGTTATATGCATGAAAAAAATCAGGATGCCATGACTTATGTTCGTAAATTTGGCCGTCCAGATGTATTTATTACTTTCACATGCAACCCGGAATGGCCGGAAATAAAAAATGAATTATTTCAAGACCAAAAGTCGTTTGATAGACACGATATAATCTCTAGAGTTTTTCATCTTAAACTAAAAAAGTTTATGCATGTATTAAAAAATAAATATATTTTCGGAGATGTAAATTGTTATGTTTACAGTGTTGAATGGCAAAAACGAGGTTTGCCATACTACCACATTCTTTTGCGGTTACAAACGAAAATTCAGCCAGATGAAATTGATAAAATTATTTTTGCCGAGATACCAAACAAAGACAGAGATCCTATAATTTATGAAATAGTATGCAAGAATATGATTCATGGCCCATGCGACGAGTTAAATATTAGATCGCTATGTATGTATAATGGAAAATGTAGTAAGAAATACCCTCACAAATTGGTCAAGGATACTCCAACTGGAGATGATGGTTATCCGACTTACCGACGGAGATCACCAGATGATGGAGGTTATACTGCAATATTAAAAGTTCGTGGTCAAACAGAACAAACTCACCTTCGAAATGAAAATGCATCTGATCCTTTTGAATTCTCAATTTCGCGTTCTTACGATAATAACCGATTACAAGAATTTGTAGAAATCAATTTACCAAAATTAGTAAATGATCAAAAATATGCTTTTAATGTTATTACAGAAAGCGTAATGAATCATCAAGGAAGAGTTTTTTTTTCAGATGCTCCGGGTGATACAGGAAAAACATTCCTAATTAATTTGTTGTTGGCTCAAATTAGATCCTCAGGTAAAGTTGCATTAGCAGTAGCTTCATCTGGTATAGCAGCAACTCTCATTAGTGGCGGCACTAACCTAACCTAACTTGCACACTCAAATTTCAAGTTACCGTTAAATGTATTGTTTGATACAGAATACGTTTGTCCGATTCGTAAAAATGGCCCTCTTGGAAAATTTCTTTAAGAAACCTCATTCGTTATATGGGATGAGTGTACAATGAGTCATAGATCACATATCGAAGCAATTGATCGATCATTAAGAGATCTTAAGTGTAATAATAAGTTTATGAGTGGCATAACATTTGTTTTCGTTGGTGATTTCCGTCAAACCTAACCAGTAATCCCTAAAGGTACTCGAGCTGATGTCGTTAATGCTTGCTTAAAATCTTCTCATATATGGAACTATGTTGAAAAACTTTATTTGCGAACAAACATGAGAGTTTATTTATGCGAAGGGGACGATATTTTTTCAGCACAGTTGTTGAAAATTGGAAATGGAACATTA